CTCAAATTGAGAAAGTTCTCCTGTTTTTTATTTAAATTTATTTATTTATTTATTTTAAATATTTATTGTTTTTAGTTTTTGGCGGACACAGCATCTTTATTTTTTTTATTTGTATGTGGTGCGGAGGATCGAACTCAGGGCTGCTCGCATGCCAGGTGAGCGCGCTACGGCTTGAGCCACATCCCCAGCATGTTTTTTTTTTTTTTTTTAAATATATTTTTAGTTGTATGTGGACACAATACCTTTATTTATCTTTATGTGGTGCTGAGGATCAGACCCAGTGCCTCACCCGTGCTAGGCAGTGCTCTACCACTCAGCCACAACCCCAGGAAAGTTCTCCTGTTGATAGACAGGGTTGATACTTGCCTAGGGACAGAAGACCTAGGGAGATAGAATAATTCTATTCCTTGTTTTCTAGATGTAAGAAACTGAGGTTCAGTGAGTTGAAGGCTTGACTTGCCCAAGACCATATGTTGAGGCAGAAGCATGGCCTTGTGGAAGGTGGAGGTGAAGGATCTAATCTGAATATCCCAGTTTAATCCTACTTCCCCATGGGAGATGAAAGTCCAGGCTTGACTCAGAACAAGGGCTTCTGGGAATTGGGGCCCAAACTTGATAGGATTCTAAAACCTGCTGTTGCCACCCTGGTCTCAAGGAGCTCCTCAGACTAGGAAGGGCAGGCCATCACACAGCAGGTGGCACCTTACCCTGTGAGATGGGGGGGGGTATAAAGAGGTAGGAACAGGTTGGCAGAGACAAAGAACTTCCCAAATCATAATGTGATTTTAGAGAATAACATGTCACCGAACTAATAAGCTTAGGATATTCCATTAAATCACTTTTCAATAAAGTGTGGAAATACACAGCTGGGAAAAGAAGTTAACAGCTTAATGAGTCTTAGGTGGGATATTTTGGTTTATTGGAAAACAGCACCCTTGTGGCTGCCCTACTTTTCAATGTGTGAACTCTTAGTATTAATAATTGGTCTTCAAGCCTAACATGATGGAACTATAGCAAAAGGCTTTTTGTTTCTTTTATGCCATCAAAAATGTAGCACAGGGTCAGTGCAAAGAGCCTGGAACAGACAGATGTGGGGTTCAAATCCTGGCTCTTTTAGTGGCTGTGCGACTTGGTTGAAATATTCAGCCTCTTAATCTTGGCCCTGGTCCCTCAAACAGAAGCACTGGTACCACCTTCATGGGTAGTGGGAGGATTATATAATATATAATCTTAGGGTCTGGCAGGTGGTAAGTGCTTCTCAAATGTTAGATCTCTTTGTTATAAAATTTAATCAGGCTCTTCCCTAATTGTGACCCTTTCCCTGAAGTCCAGATGAGTGATACTAGATGAGTGATAACTAGATGAGTGATAGTAGAGCTCCCACTTACATTCCCTTCCTGGGCACTGGCTCCTGAGCTTCCCAAATCCCTTGCTTTCCTATATAGCCATATGTTGCAGTGACATTCTCTATTGTCTCTGTGTTTTCCAAAAAGAAGGACCACTGTGTCATGGTGGCCCAGTAGCATTTGAGAAGTGGGTTCTCTAATTGCTATGTATTTGGTGAATAGCCCTCTAGGGCCTTTTAAGTGTCCTGATGGGCAGGGCAGGCGGAGGGCACTGCAAGTGGCAGGCTGTGGGCATGCAGTTCAGCCTTTGGGCTGGTGCAGTCTTCTGCCTTCTTGGGACAGGAAGCTTCATTCTTTCATTCAACAGATTTTCAGCTCCTGGTGGTTGGTGCAGTTGATGAACCGTGGGGAGTTTTCTTTTGTTGAATAATGGGTGTTGCAGTTTAGGCACTCCAGGTACAGAGATGGTTCTCAGGGTAGGGGGCCTGTTATCTCTCTAGTATAGAAGGAGCTCATCTTGCCCTGGCAGATACTGGTTCCTGGAGAGAGAGGGGTCCATTGGCCTGGGAGGTGGAGGAGCAGGAGTGGGGCTTTAGGCAGTAGTAGTGTTTTCCACTATTTTCCCATCATTTCAGAAGTTGTTGTTGTTTTTTTTTTTTAATCAATGGTTGTCATCCCTCTCAACCATTAGCTCTTTGTCAGCACTACTTGCTGACCCTTTTCCATTCTGGTCTGGATACCTGTAGCCATCTGGGGACTGGAACATGGATGAGCACCCTGCTTCATTCAGTTTTCTCTATTAAGTCCTTACAAAGGCCTTGCCAGTGTTTCTACAGGAGAAAACGCAGGTGGAGTGAAAAAGTGATTTATGGTGCTTCTTTTCCACCATGAGGATCCCCCAGGCCCTCAGCACCCTGCTTTGACCCAGTCTATCCTGGGCCTTCTGTACTTGTTTCTGGAATGAATGAGTCACCTAAAAGGTCCAGTGCAAGGGAATGCAGGTTACAACTTTCAGCATTGCCCCATGAGCTTTGGGGCTGAAATAAATTAGGTAGCATCAAACTTAATAGAAACCAGGCCAAGGGCCCAGAAGATAAGTTTCTTCATGGCCTCAGCTCTTCCAGGCCCTCCTAGCTGTGTTGTATGGGGCTGGGGGCTTTGCTGAAAAGAGGCCTGGGGGGGGCCTGGAGTGGGTTCCCAGGGTGGGTGGGGTATGTGCCCTAGAGGGGTGGGGGAGGGCTGCCAGGATATCTTTTCTTTCATTGGCTGGGTGGCCCTGCCCTCCTCCCCCTCCCTCTCCTGGAACATTCCAGACATTCCAGACAAACTGCCTGCCATTGCTTTCAGGATATGGATTAACATCCCAGCAGAGATTTGATTTCACTACTACCACCCCTCCTGTTCCCCCTCCCTGCCCTGAAAAAAAAAAAAGTTTCTAAAACAGTTTGAAGAGGGAAGTGTTGACCTTTGGCCTTAGCTTATAGCAAGGGACAGTCTTGAAAGAGCTTACTTCAAATTAGGCTCCTGCAGTTGGGTTACATTAGGTCCTTATTGGCTTGAACACCCAGGCAGGCAGTCCTCAACTCCTTGCCCTTCATCCCGAAGTCTATACTGTTAAGGGAGGCATCATGGGTCTGGGATGTCCCTGTTATTTTGTTAAGCTAAATCAGTTCTCTCCATCCTAAAATGGTGTAGTCATTTTATTTATCCAGTTCTCTTGACAGCTTGAAAATAGTCTGTCCAGGGCTGGGGATGTGGCTCAAGCAGTAGCGCGCTCGCCTGGCATGCGTGCGGCCCAGGTTCGATCCTCAGCACCACATACAAAACAGAGATGTTGTGTCCGCCGATAACTAAAAAATAAATATTAAAAAAATTAAAAAGAAAATAGTCTTGTCCATCTGGTCATCCAAAGACTTACTGGAAATTGCTCACTTGGGCAGATGTGGGGCTTCCTCTTGGCCAATGGATTGAATCACAGGTTGGCCTGATAGAATCTGAGAATATGGAACTGCATTTGTTTCTGATCTTCACTGTTTTGTCTTGCTGTAATTAAGTCAAGTTCATGAACTAACCAAAGTAGAATGCCACAAAGAATCTCTTCTATTTCCACAAGTTATTTCATTTCAGAAAGGGATGTTCATTAGTATATTTTGTGGATAAAAATTTCCTATCAGAATTGCAGAGTTAGAAGGGATCTTAGAGAAGAGAGCCTTCTGTTTGCACTTTGTATCTGGGGAGACTGGTGAATGGTGTAAGCAGGACCAGGATAGCCAAAGTGGACACAATTTACAATTAGAATTTTAGCATCCCTTTCTCAGCTGAACAAGAGCTGGCCCCCATTGCACATCCTGCAGGGTACTGGGGCTTGAGGCTAAGAGTCAACCAACATCCCAATGGAGTCAGTTTAGGGGCTTGAACTGGACTCTGGCTTTCTAGTCCAGCTTTCCTCCAAACTGCGACTATTTTGTTGGACCTTGTTCTTGAACTAAGACTTTATGATCGATGATATCCAAAGACCTAAATGACAATTGACTAACACATCAAGCCAATTTAAATGTCTCAAACTCAGAGATTAGGGTATTGATTTGAGTGGTGAGCAATTGCCCTGGGATTCAACCCTGAACCTGAAAGCTTTCCTCAGGGAAAATGGACATTTTAAAGAGGAATTTGAAAGATGTGATGGAGGGGGAACCATTGTTTAGGAGAGGGAACTGGGAGAGGGGGAAGGTGGTACTAAGGCCTAGCAGCGCAGCCACCTTAGTATTCACAGATGCATCTATTGTTACAGCATAAGTACTTACTTCAAACCTTTTGCTAAGCTCTTTACAAATATCTAACACCACCTACCACCTGTGAATAGGTATTATCCCTGCTTTACAGGGGAGGAAACTGGGCCTCAAAGAAGTTAAATAATCTTTTCAACATCAGTGCTAATAAGTGGTTTAAATCCATATCCTTGCCAAGGGCTTAACCTGGTTATTATCTGCTGTAATTTGTTTGCATATATTGTCTCCCCTAGAACCTGGTGAGCACCTCAGGCCAAGCATTTTGTGTTTGGTTCATTTCTGTGCCCCAGGCCTCTTGAATAAAATAGAGCATGAAGTAGGTACCATTTAGAGAGTTGTTAGATTAATTAAATTTGTCTTATTTAGCATGGCATTGTAGTGGCTGGTTGTGGTGACAAGAATGGAGTGAGAACACTAAGTAGTAACAAAACAGTTGTGACTTTTTAGGGAATTTTGTTACCTAACTGCTCCCAGCATTTGATTCTGCATCAGGGACACTTAACCAGTGAACACATCCTCAAACTTTTTATTTTTTATTTTGAGAACGGGACTTGCTAAGTTTGCTGATGGTCTCACTAAATTGCTGAGGTTAGACTTGAACCTGTGATCCTTCTGCCTCAGCCTCCTGAGCCCCTGGGAGTACAGGAATGTACCGCTGTTCCCAGGCTGTCTGTGGTGTAATTTGGTCTAATTTGAGACAACCCCATCTCCAAAGCTGCATTACTGAAAAGTTACTGTAAGATTTAATTTTGGTGACCAGAAGGAGCGAGGTTAAAAACTAGGACAAAGATTAGAAACTACTACTAGTTCACAGGGTCTTAGTTAAAACTCCCAGAGCTTTCTCTGACTCATTTCTGTTTTATTTCAGGAGTCGAAAAATCCAGATACGAAATATTCCACCTCAGCTCCGATGGGAAGTAAGTGGTTGGGGAAAGCTGTTGGTGGAATGAGGTGGGGTCAGGTGGTGGCATGTCTGGGTTGGCTTGAATTGAAAGGAGGAGTCTCCTGGGTCTGGGGTTGGTTGGGTCTCCTTCATCTTGGATTCCAACCTTTGGGCTATTTCTAAGGCTAGAGACATTAAGAAGGTGGGAAGGGTGTTCTTTAAACTTGGTGATGGTAGGAGTCGATAGGGCCCCAGGTAGCTGGATGTGCTTCCCAAAAAAGCTTTCAAGGCAGAGCTTCAGTACAACTCTTCAAAGATACTCTCTGCCACCATCATTGTTAGTCTACAAGGCAGTAATACCCAGTCCTTGTCTATGGCTCTGCCTGTGCCCTGGCGTTTTGGGGAGAGTGGGATCCTGACTTGGATTCTCACCCTTCTCTGTGTCTTCTCACCTTCTCCATGTTCCTAGGTACTGGATAGTCTGCTGGCTCAGTATGGAACAGTAGAAAACTGTGAGCAAGGTAAGATGGGTCAGGGTGAGAGGTGGGTGTCTGAGGAGTTGGGGACCTGCTCTGATTGCCATTCCGTGATAAAATAAGTACACCAGGAAGATCCAGATAGAATGGGATGTAGAGGGAGATTGGCTGGCATGGGGACTAGACACCAAGCCTCCTTTTAGCTCTACCGTTTATTCCTGGACCCAGGTTTTTTCTTCTGTCTCTTCTGTCTTCTATTTATCTAATCTATTTTCTGCTGGGGTTTTTGGGGATTGAACCCAAGGGCACTTTACTACCCAGCTATACCTCTTTTTAATTTTTGAGACTGGGTCTTGTTTAATTTTTATTTTGAGATTGGATCTTGCTAAGTTTCTGAGGCTGGTCTCAAACTTGTGATCCTCTGCCTAGCCTCCTGAGTTTCTGGGGTTATAAAAGTGTACCACCTTGCCTGGCTTGCAGCCTTTTTATTTTAAAAGTTTTTTTAACTTTCACAGGTGGCCCATGCCTGTAATTCCAGCCTCTTGTTGGGAGGCTGAAGCAGGAGGATCACAAGTTTCAGGGCATTCTCTGCAGTTTAGTGAGGCTCTAAGCACCTTAGTGAGACCCTGTCTCAAAATGAAAAATAAAAAGGGCTGGGGATGAGGCTCAGTGGTAAAGTGTCCTTACCACAATGCCCAGTACCTCCCTACCCCTCACCCCCCCCACGTTTATTTTGTAGTTTTCTCCATTTTTGGGTTATGGCTGAAATTGTTAATTGGTCATTTCTCTTCAGAAGCTCTTACTTATAGCTACATGTCTTTGGTCATTTTCATCTCATATATATCTGTTCAGGCATGTGCTTGGCTCCAAGTAGATTTTTATTTTATTTATTTATTTATTTATTTTTAAGAGAGAGCGAGAGAGTGAGGGGGGAGAGAGAGAGAGAGAGAGAGAGAGAGAGAGACAAGTTTAATATTTATTTTTTAGTTATCGGCGGACACAACATCTTTGTTTGTATGTGGTGCTGAGGATCGAACCCGGGCCGCACGCATGCCAGGCGAGCGCGCTACCACTTGAGCCACATCCCCAGCCCTCCAAGTAGATTTTTAAAAAATATTTTTTAATATTTATTTTTTAGGTGTAGATGGACACAACACAATGCCTTTATATTTATGTGGTGCTGAGGATCGAACCCGGGTCCTGCTCGTGCTAGGCGAGCACTCTACCACTGAGCCACAATCCCAGCCCCTTAAAAATATTTTTCCCTTAGTTGTTGAAAGATCTTTATTTTATTTATTTATACGTGGTGCTGAGAATCGAACCCAGAGCCTCACACATGCAAGGCAAGTACACTACCACTGAGCCACAGTCCCAGCCTTCCAAGTAGATTTTTAAATGCCAAGTCACTGGGATTGCAGGCTTGTGCCACCGTATTCAGCATCTTGAGGTGTTTAGATAGAGAAATACTGGTTTTGGTCACTTTGAGATTTAAATATTGATTTCCGTATTTGTGGAAAGGGGCAAGCTAAAAGTGATTATAACTGGTTATAATCACTTAGCTTATATTATAACTGTTGTTTGCCTCTCTGGAATGTATACTCCATGAACGCAGAGGTTCCTTTCTGTTTGTCAAGTCAGAATGTCACTCACCATTGAGTTGGGAAAGCATTGCTGAAGGCCAGAGGGGTTTAGAGGGATTTGCACTGATCTTTTGTGACCTTATCAGGGTCCAGAGGGCAGAGGCTTCATTTATCTAGTCAGTACCCCACACTGGGATGAGCTGGCCTTAGAAGAACCAAAGTTACAGGCACTGGTGTAAAAGACAGAAGGTTAAAAAAGCGTGGGGGGAAAAGGAAAGCCAAAAGATTGACTTTGATGGGATTCATGGCCAGTGTTCTGAGGCTATGATGACCCGCTGTGTCTAGTTCACTGCTAAGATGTTAGAATACTCCAGGCAGGAGATCTTCTCCTGGAAAAGATGCAGACAGATTTTCTTCTAAACCCTACAACATCCACTCCTGTTCATCCATGTAGCTGTATATTCATACACTTCGAGTGTGTCCTTGGGGATTTGTAGGATTCTAGAATGGATTTGGGTGTTCCCCAACCATATCTTAAGAGACCTTGGGATGTTTACTTCTTTGAATTGCTAATCTCACTCTCTGCGTTGATTTTTAACTAGTTTAACTTTCCACGGGTAAATCTGTCTCCCAGATCCAGGTGTGAGTGTATGTTGGGGGTGGAGGTTTGCCATTCTATATAGCTGCAGATGTGGGGGCCAGACCCTTTGTATTCCTGCTTTTCGGAGAGGAGGAATGCAAGAAAGTTAGTTTGAACTTTCCAGTATTTCTGGTGGAAGGGGCCTCAGGCAGAAACTTGACCATTTAGTGGAGTCTTTCATAACCTCCAGTAGCTAGCTGGATGTTTTCTTGACCTCAAAACCTGGTAAACTGGGCTGGGGGGGTTTATCTGTAGGGATTGCAGATATCACCTTGATAACCCTGTCCTGTTGTCTTTGCAGTGAACACTGAGAGTGAGACAGCAGTGGTGAACGTAACCTATTCCAACCGGGAGCAGACCAGGCAGTAAGTGCCCTGGCAGTGGGACTGGGGTGTCTTTGTGGGCCAGTGGTTATCTGATCCCTCTGACTAGACAGTTCAACAGGTCTGGGTAAAGTGTTCAGCTAGCTATGTGGGAAATCCCAGGCAGGCTAGGGTCTTCGTTGTGTTTCTCAATATTGACTTCAGATTACCTCCTCAGGGATCTCAAAGGTTCAGGCAGTCTTTAGGATTGATCACAAAAATACATAGAAGGAAGGAACCTAAAGCCCTCCAGGAAAGGTGGGCAGTCTGGGAGAAGCCCTTGGCTCTGATTAGGTTACTGGTTTCCAGGGAAATGTGGGATTCTTTGTGTTGGAGGCGTCACCAAGTGGTGAATAGGGGAAATGCTGGACTCAAAAGATTGTGACAGTGATATCCTACCTCACATTTGATTGTCCTGATGGTCAGGAGGCTGCCTCCTTAAAGCTTTTTTGTAGAATTTTTTCAGTCCCATCACAACCACAATTTCTAACTCCTTAGCATGGTTGAGCAGTTACTCTTCTCTGTAACCATTGTTACAGATCTCATTTTTTTTTTTTAACTGCTAACAAGCTGAGGTTTTGTGTGTCAGGATGGTGGTATCACATCTGGGTGTGGTGGCACACTTCTATATAATCCCAGCAACTTGGGAGGCTGAAGCAGGAGAATCGTGGGTTCAAAGTCAGCTTCAGCAACATAGCAAGGTTCTAAGCAACTCAGTAAGACCTGTGTCTTGGGTTACCTTTTACCAGAAAATCACAAATATTCTATACTGTTAATATACTTAAGAAAAGCATCTTCATCATAGATTGACATCAAAATGTGATTTCTACTAATGGGTTTTACACCAAATTTTCTTAACTACGGAAGGTGGCAGACTTGGTGTAAAAAAAAGCCTCTTATTTTATCATGTGCTTTCACATGTGATTCTCACATGCATCCTGTAAGACATATCATTTTGACTGAAATTGAAAAGCTGATATTAAATTGAGCAAGAGACCCAAAATAACCATGGCAATCTTGAGCTTGAACTTACACATTTTAAAACTTACTTCAAAGCTGCAATAATCAAATCAATGAGTTATGTGCAGGAGAACAGACATAGATCAGTGGAATCTAGAAATAAACATTTAGGTTGAGAATCAACCAGTCACTTTTTTAAAAAAGAGATGCTATAAAAATTCAGTGGGAAAATAGTCTTTATAAAGAATGGTACCAGGGTAATTTGATATACATAGACAAAAAGACGAATTTGGACCATCGCTTGCACTTTATATACAAATTAACTCTGAATGCGTCACAGTTATAAGATAGACAGGGCAGGCAACAACCTCCACTTTGCAGCTGATGAGACTTAGGTCTAGACTAGGTAGGGTGTGGACTAGGTTAGAAATTACCTAGTGCACAAACCAGTAGTGTCTTAACTCATTTGAGTATCTTCACTTATCATTGGGATAAGCCAGGACAGGATTAACACATTTTTAAGCTTTGGCTTCATCATCTATAATATCAAGGTTTTGTAGTAGTTAGTACTTGGTTTCTTCATCCTCTGGTAGGAGTCCCATCCAGAAACTGCGGGTGTCAGCTTTGTCAAGTCACTTCACATATGTGGTTCTTTTTTAGACCTATGACTTGGTTTTCCTCCTAAGACTGTATGTTCCCTTGTACTGGAAGCCACTTCTCTGATGATATAAATGGAAGGCCATCCCATCAAATGTCATTAGGCATCTCTATATTTATTCTTTTGATGTCTTCTACCATGTAAGCTGAAGGCTTTCTTAAACAGTAGATGGGGGTGGTAGGAGGTGGTTACCTCCCTTTCCTCGCTGTGTTCCATGTTGTAACTGGGTAGAATGCTATTGAACAAGGAAGGCTCCTGGTGTGATTGGCAAAGGTTGGAGTGACCAGTGGATTTCCCCTCTGTTCCCAGAGCCATCATGAAGCTGAACGGCCACCAATTGGAGAATCATGCCTTGAAGGTCTCCTACATTCCTGATGAGCAGATAGCTCAGGGTCCTGAGAATGGGCGCCGAGGAGGCTTTGGCTCCCGTGGTCAGCCCCGCCAGGGCTCTCCTGTGGCAACAGGGGCCCCAGCCAAGCAGCAGCAGGTGGACATCCCCCTTCGGCTCCTGGTGCCCACCCAATATGTGGGTGCCATCATCGGCAAGGAGGGTGCCACTATCCGTAACATCACAAAACAAACGCAGTCTAAGTGAGTCTGTTTGCTGGGGACAGAGGCTAGGTGCGGGAACTCCCTCTTTCCTCGGGAGACCTCCTGGAAGCACCCTGGGGCATCAACATTTTACTCTTAAAGTTGCTTGGGATACTTAGGGGTCACTTGCTTCCACTTTTGCCTCCTGGATTGCGGTGGGCAGATGGCAGGGGACAAGGGATCTGGGGTATACCACTGGTGGTAGTGACTGGGCCCTGTACTCTTAGTAAGAAGGGGTTCTATATAGTTTCACAGAAAGTCTCAAACACATGCCAGTGTAATGAGTCAGTAGCTCTTTGATGCTTATGCTTTCATGACCACTTGGTGGCCACAGGCTTAGTCAAACCTGGCTAAAGATAGAGCCATATGATATGGGCTATAATTATCCCCCATCTCACATTCCCATAAATTACCACCTTTCTCTAGTTTTTATAGCTGATCGGTATGCTCTGTGGGAAAGAAAAGGTCACATTATTCCCTTAATCATAATAAATCCTGTTTTTCCTTACTTTTTGTTGGTACAATGTATCTTATGATTGCTTCAAGGGGGACATACAGAATTCAAGGGGAAATGCAGCTTTACAAGCCTGGCCTGATAACCCTACCCTGGCATCAGTGTTGTAGATGACATACTTGTCCCTCGCCACCTGCTGAGAGAGTCAGAATAACAGCCTGACCACATTTCCCTGGCCCTTCTCAGTTCTGTACCTGACTGGCCTTGTTGGAAGAAGAGCATGTTCTTTGCTTTTGGTGGATTGAGGTGGGGAAGCCTAAGGACCACTGTCACTGGGGAAAACTAACTGGCTTTGTCCTTGTGGTCCTCAGGATTGATGTGCATAGGAAGGAGAATGCAGGTGCAGCGGAAAAGGCCATCAGCGTCCACTCAACCCCCGAAGGCTGCTCCTCAGCCTGTAAGATGATTTTGGAGATCATGCATAAGGAGGCAAAGGACACCAAAACGTAAGGCTCCAGCTTTTCTTGCCTTCAGAGAATGCTAACTTACTCCTGCTCACACACACTTTCTTGTCCCCGTAACTTTCTTTTTGGTGGTACTATGGTTAGAACCCAAGGAGGCCTCCTCACACATGTCAGACAAGTGCTCTGTCACTGAGTCCAAATCTTCAGTTTCCAGCAACACTTTTTTTTTTTTGTAGTGTGTATTGAATTTAGGGGCACTCCACCACTGAGCCACATCCCCAGCCCTATTTTGTATTTTATTTAGAGATAGGGTCTCTCTGAGTTGTTAAGAGCCTTGCTGAATTGCTGAGGCTGGCTTTGATCCTCCTGCCTCTCAGCCTCCTGCATTGCTGGGATTACAGGTGTGTGCCACCATGCCAGCCTCCAGCCCTGCTTTATAAATTTTATTTATCTATTTTTATGCGGTGCTGAGGATCGAACCCAGTGTCGTGCACATGCTAGGCAAGCGCTCTACCGCTGAGCCAACTCTAGCACTTAATGATATTATCTATTTTTAAAGTATACAGTTTTGAGTTTTATTATATGTATTATACCAATTAAAACCATCATCACAGTTAACATAAAGCCTTTGCCCCCAAGTTCCTTTGCGCTCTGTCCTCCTCTTCCAATTCTCTATTCCTAAGCAACCACTGACCTGCTGATTTTTATAACCTTCCAACACTTTTTGTCTTGTGGCTTGTCCTATAAGCCCCATATTGGGGATGGCATGATGACCACCACCAAAAGAACTCTTGTCCTCTGTTTCTTCCCCAGGGCTGATGAAGTCCCACTAAAGATCCTGGCCCATAATAACTTTGTGGGACGTCTCATTGGCAAGGAAGGGCGGAACCTGAAGAAGGTGGAGCAGGACACAGAGACGAAAATCACCATCTCCTCGTAAGGCAGCCCCCACTTTCCTGTTTATGGGGAGGCTTGCTGTCCCCATAAGAAGTTGTAGTGGGCAGCCTCCCTGGAAGAACAAGTTAAGGGGTGGATTACCTTTATGCAAGTACCAAGTCTCCTCATTCCTTCAGTTACTAGCCTGTGGGCAGTGTAACTGCTATCTTCTAAAAAACCATTGCCTCCAGCCATGTTGGAGACTTAACAGGTGGGGCCAGGTTCTAGGCTTGGCTGGGGTTGGCTGGTGACTGGAACCTGCCCAGGATTGGCTCCACTCTGGCAGAAGGGTATCAGTGGAGCAATCTCATCTCTCTGTACCTCTGTCTCTGACCTGGCTACAAAATCAGGGCCCCAAAGGCTGGAAATGGAGAATTACTTGCCATAAGTCACACCGATTACAGAAGTGGGGGACCTGGGACTTGGATGGTCTCTGGGTCTCATCCCCTGCCAGGTCCTGGGCTGCTAGTGAAAGCCTGAGACCACCCTGTTTTTTCTCCAGGCTGCAGGACCTCACCCTCTACAACCCGGAGAGAACCATCACCGTGAAGGGGGCCATTGAGAACTGCTGCAGGGCTGAGCAGGAAATCATGAAGAAAGTTAGGGAGGCTTATGAGAATGACGTGGCCGCCATGAGCGTGAGTATTAGGTCTTGCTCCTTTGTGTTCCCTTTCCTGGCCATGGACAGGAAGGTGATAGTCACATGCACCCTGTGCTGTAAGGCCTTGGAGCATCACTTTTCTGTTTTTTGGACATGAACTCATCAGAAATGGCTTTTTTTTTTTCCCCCCTGCAATGCTGGGAATGAAATCCAGGCGAGGAAAGGCAGAACCTGAAGCAAGCACTCTACCACTGAGCAACATTTTCAGCCTCAGAAATAACTTCACCACATTTAATTAACAGGGACTTTTCATCTGTTTCCTCGATTTGTGTGGAGAATCCAGTCTTGAGTGTTATAGATTCCTATAGTTGAGATTCAGCCTTGGGCTGAGTGGCTGTGACCCTCCTGTAAACTTTGTGGTTATGTGCACTTTAGTGGAGAGAGGGTTTTATATTTTTCATCTGATTTTCAAAAGGAGAGTGCAGGCAGGTGCAGTGGCCTATAATCCCAGTGACTTGGGATGCTGAGTCAGGAGGATCACAAGTTCAAGAGCAGCCTCAGCAACTTAGGGATGCTCTACTTGTCAAAATTTAAAAAAGAGGCGGAGAATGTAGCTTTGTGGTTCATTGCTCCTGGGTTAAATCCCCAGTACAGAAAAAAAAGAAAATGTGGGTGGAAGTGGTATATGATGGAACCACTGAGTTCTAGAAGTCAGAGGGAGCTCTGTTGCCCTGCTGAACATTAGATTACTGCATTATGAGTCTGGTCTGTCTTCCACTAGAGTGGATGAACCCACCATAGAGGAAGGGCCACTGACATCCAGGGCTGGTTGGCTCTTCAGGTTGGAGGTGCTGGCTCTTAGTCCAGTGAGGACATGACCTCAATAACAATTCCACAGCTGTGTAGTGTGAGAATACAGGAAAACCACGAGGCCAGGCAGGTTTTTATGTAAAAGCATGTAGTTCTCAAGGTTTTGGCCCACCTCCTCTGGGGTTGTTTGACTTTTACCAGCCAGGGCCACAGGCAAGGGACCACTGGGCTCTCTCAGCTGACCTGCTCCCTACCTTCTTTCCCCAGCTGCAGTCTCACCTCATCCCTGGCCTTAACTTGGCCGCCGTCGGGCTTTTCCCAGCCTCGTCCAGTGCAGTCCCACCACCTCCCAGCAGTGTTACTGGTGCTGCTCCCTACAGCTCCTTTATGGTAAGTGGAAGGTCTTATCTCAGGGATCCCAGTCTTGTGGGTGGTCTACCTTAAGAGGCCCAACTCCCTGTGCTCAGGAGAAGGATGGGAGGTCTCTGAGATGGCCCTCCTCTGCATTGCTCCCAGCCTTGGGCTCTGACTCCAGAATGCTAACTGTGCCGAGCCCAGCAGAGCTTGCTACCCGGATGCTCAACACTTTTCCTCACTCTTACTCAGCCTCTTACCTTTGGGCCTGCTGGGCTTAGGATGAGCTAAAAGCATCATCAGCATAGGGGTACTGCTGGGTATCTGCACTTCCTCTTCCTTGAGGCTGCAAGGCAGAGGAATGGAGGAACCCCCTGGGTCCTTCCCACAGGCCCTTGGTAAGAAGTCCTTGTCCTACAGCAGGCTCCAGAGCAGGAGATGGTGCAGGTGTTCATTCCTGCCCAGGCGGTGGGTGCCATCATCGGCAAGAAGGGACAGCACATCAAGCAACTTTCCAGATTTGCCAGTGCCTCCATCAAGGTGATTTGCTCTGTGTTCCTCCAGTTCCTGGGATGTTTGTTCCAGATTCCCATATGCTTTGGAGAAATCTGCATCTCTAGTTAGGGACCTGTGCCGCCAGCCCCCCTCCCCCCACTGCAATCTTCTTTGCATTTTTTTTAGTTGTAGATGGACACAATAACTTTATTTTTTTATTTTTATTTTTTGTAGTTGTATCTGGACAGCATGTCTTTATTTTGTTTGTTTATTTTTATGTGGTGCTGAGGATCGAACCCAGTGCCTCATGCATGCCAGGCGAGCGCTCTTCCACTGAGCCACAACCTCCCCCAGTTTTCATTACTTTTGACCTTGCTGTGTCCTTTGTGGCCTGCATTCAGTGCTTCTGGGTTTTCAGACTGGATAGGAGCAGGACTTCAGTGTGGAAGTAGCCCCACAGGGAGCCTCCCTTTTCTCATCAGTACACAAGGAAACCATACAGTTAGAACCCCCGGCTCACTCTGTGCTACAGTAACACTAAGTGAATTTTATTTGTCTTTTACCTTCCTTGGTTCTGGAGTAGAGGGGAGAGAAGGAGAATGTGTCCTCATGAAGCAAAGGTGCTGTTAATTTCACAAACCCAAATTCCAAGTGATGAAGTGGTCTTTGAATCTTTGGGGAGAAGCTGTGATTGTTCCCCTGTGGAGGTGCAGTCACTGCCCTTCTGCCATTGGTCATCTCACCTTGTGTCTCTGCCTCAGCAGTTTACAGTGAAACTCCACTACAGGCTGAGTGGGGAGGGCCAGGAAAACTTAATGAGAAAATGTCACCGAGCAGGACCTTGTAACTGACCACCTGTGTCCTTGTCACAGTTTGGGTGCACCTGGGCAGTGACTTGGGCTTCAGGTTCTTCCCTTTCCCAGTTCTCAGCATGGACAGTGGAAGTGAGTGTGGTAGGGAAGGGATCGGGAGGATGTAGAGATGGTAGGAATCTCCCTCTAGAAAGTCTCTCTTTGCTATTTGGTTTTTTAGATTGCTCCACCGGAAACACCTGACTCCAAAGTTCGAATGGTTATCATCACCGGACCCCCAGAGGCCCAATTCAAGGTTTGGATTTATATTGTTTTTCCAAACTGATTTACAGGGGGAATTGAGGTTGGGAACCTGATGTGTGCAGGAGAAAGCCCGGTGCAGCTTCTGATAGCTGTCATATTCTTGTCACATCTTTCACTCTTTCCAGCAGGATGCTGCTTTCAAAGTGGAATTGAACTTCTTTTTCATGTCGACTTCTACTTCCCCCTCCAGTTCCTGCAGGTTCATACAGGAATTATAGAGAATGAAATCTGAGGTCTTGGCATTCGATGCCAATTCCCTAGTGTCCACCATATCTGTAGGTTGTTGAGCTTGTGATCAGAAGGCCAGATAGCTTAACCTGACCTACATGAGGATGGAGAACTGGGACAGCTTTCTAGGGCCAGGCAGGGCTGCCCTCTGCTTGACTTGATGAATTTGCCATTAAAGGCCTTGATGTGCTAGTCTTGCCACATCCAAATAAATGCAGTCCTCCCAGGTCTTATAGGTCTGCTTTGGAGCTGGTGAGTTATAATCCTCCTAGACATATTTATTCAGTTACTCACAATTCGTAATAATGCTCCAGGACCTGCAGTGTTGGAGCTAGGCGGAGGGGACCTTGACTGGTTTCCGAATGGGGCCTTTCACACCACCTGCCAAAAGAGCGGAAAAGGACGGACTGGAGTGGAATGTGGGGTTAAATTCGGTGTTTACCACTCTTCACTTTAGTCACAGATATATGACCTGCTGATTAACAATGACCTCCTCTCCCCAGGCTCAGGGGAGAATATATGGAAAACTCAAGGAAGAAAACTTCTTTGGTCCTAAGGAAGAAGTAAAGCTGGAGACACATATCCGGGTGCCAGCCTCGGCCGCTGGCCGTGTCATTGGCAAAGGCGGCAAAACGGTGAGCCCTTAGGGCCATGTTGAAGGCTTTGGGCTTTGGAGTCCAAATCCAACAGGGCCTCTCTGGCCTCCTATTCCCCTGTTTTGCTCGATTGCAGGATGCTCACTTGCCCTTCTGCTTGAAGTTCTATGCCTGACTCCCTGTTAGTACCTCTTATCTCTTTTTGAATATTTTTTAGTTGTAGTTCTCAATACCTTTTTTTTATGTGGTGCTGAGGATCGAACCCAGGGTCTCTCACGCACTAGGCGAGCGCTCTGTGGCTGAGCCACAACCTCAGCCCATATCTCTTATCTCTTGCTCCAGTTCTATTTCCCCAAGTTCAATGCCTGACTCCCTGGTGGTAGTCTTGCTCCAGTCCCACCCATGCTTTTATGTGTGTATGGTGCTGGTGATGGAACCCAGGGTCTTGTGCATGCTAGGCAAGTCCTCTATCTCTGAACTACACCCCAGCTCCCCACTCATGCTTTCTTGATAGCATCCTGAGCTCTTTTCTGGCCACCCCCAGGTGAATGAGTTGCAGAATCTGACAGCTGCTGAGGTGGTAGTGCCGAGGGACCAGACGCCTGATGAAAATGATCAAGTTATCGTTAAGATCATCGGGCATTTCTATGCCAGCCAGGTACATCTGGTGCTCCCCGATCTCCGAAGGGCTGCAGGGGCCGGAACCAGAGAAATGATGGCCATGACCCCTTCCTCCCTGGTTCCTGATCTTCCACCCTCCCACCCTTTTCTTGGAGCTCCTCATCCCTGCCCTTCCCTGGTCTGGGGTTGACATCACATCCTAGAAACAAGGCCAATCTCAGCTTCAAACTTCAAACTGGGGCCTCAACAAGGCAAGGAAAGGGTGACTGACAGCGTAGTTCAAAAAATCTGAAATGCTCTGTGTGTTAGCCCTAAGAGTAAGGACTCTGAGACCACTGAACACAGTTCCAGCAGGTTGTCACAATCCAAGGCAAAACTGTCCCCTTACCTCTGAGCATAGTTGGTGCAGCACTGAAAACCGAGTTCAGGCCCCACATAGCCTCTCTGCTCTGTTACCTGGATTAGCAGCCTACTCTGTTATAATCCTGGGAGAAGTATTGGTAAGGACCACAGGAATAATAGCTAAAATTTGTGGGTACTTATGATACACACCCAGCATTGTATCATGGTTTTTGTATATTGACTGATTTAATCCCTTTAACAGTTTGATTTTACCAACAAGGAAATGAGGGTAGATCTAAGGATGTATACCACCAGGGTGTATTAAATATTACAGCAGTTTCAGTTGATCTGCTTGAGGATTAAATGAAATACTTAAAACATCAGGCCAAGCCTGATGGAATCTGAACTCTGAATCTGAATCTGAATTTACTAGTGAATTCCACATTTTTTTCCCCAATGTAGAGCTACTTTCTCTTAACCAAGAAACCAAGCACTCAATTTATGGAAAGGAAACATTCTGATACATTTGTAGACATGAATTCCATCTTGCAGTAGATTTCTCTTGCAAAACTTCTAAAGGAGGAAACTTATAAGTAGGATACACTAAAGGTAGGGGAAATCCTTTGGTATTTCAATCCAGTCCAGTTCACAATGGAGTGTATTTATTTGACTTTTTTTTTTTTTTTTATTAAGCCACAGCTGGGCACTATGTCCGCTCCCTCTGGCATTATATGACTATTGGATTTGTGATGGTGTCTGCTAATTTATGACTCTGGACACCAGGAATGTACTTCTGGGTCGAAGCTCAAGTTGTTCCATTTCTAGGTTCAATATCATGACAAAGTGTTAACTTTGTCAAGTTCTAAATTCCGATTAATAGATTTCTGCTGTGTCTCTGCTCCCTTCTGTGCTCACCCTCTCTGTCCCCGCTTACTTTCTGTTTTGCCCAGAGGAGGCTCACTTGGAGGCAGAGAAACTTAAGGTTACCTAGATCCTCAGTCGTCTTCTACATATTCTAATAAGTCCTGGAACTTCTCCCCTTGTTGATCCTCATCCCACTCGCTTGCCTGTTCTTGCTGCAGATGGCTCAGCGGAAGATCCGAGACATCCTGGCCCAAGTTAAGCAACAGCACCAGAAGGGACAGAGCAACCAAGCCCAAGCACGGAGGAAGTGACCAGCGCCTTCCAATCCCATTTGCTTCAGGATGCCGGGCAGAACTGGGGAGTGCACTCTCCCGGCAGGCCTGAGAATGAGTGGGAATCAGGGACCTCGGGGCTGGGCTGGAGATCAGGTTTGCCCACTTGCTTGAAAAGGATGTTCTGGTGAGGAATCCTGATCTCTCCGTCCCAAACCCCTGACTGACCAGCCCAGCCAGGCCCACCACACCTTGGGGTGTCACCATTCAAATTCTAGCTCAGGGTGCTTTTAAACGTGGATTGTTTAAGGAAGTTCTCCAAATCCCACCAAGAGGATGGTTCAGTCTCCAGTGGGGAAGAGAAATAAAGTTTCCTGCAGGTTTATAAAAACCTCAAAGGATGGTTTGTTTCTTGACCCAAAAATCTTTCTTTCTTTCCCCTTCTTGGTTAATTGATTAAAATATACTTCCATTCTCATGCCCTTACACCACCTCTTCCTATAGTTACACTGTTTTAACTACTACCAGGAAAATGGGAACTAATGCATTACTTTGTATTGACTGTGTAGAGAAGACACATCTTCATCTGTAGCTTGATTCCAAACCCTCCCTAACCAACCAATAGGGAACAGCAAAGAATTAAAGAAGGGGTAGGGGCAGGGAAAGAGCTTATTAAAAACATAGTAATCCACGTTTAAAAGGAAGTACCCTTGGGCTGGGGATGCAGCTCAATGGTAGAGCAGTTGCCTAGCCTGTGTAGTTCCATCCCCGGTACCATAATGAAAGGAAAAAAAAGAGAAAAATTCTCTTGTGACTGGTCTATTCCAGATCACCATCTTAAAAATTTGGCACAATTGAAATTCCCCCTCAGGCTGTTGGGCCTCCCCCACATTTACATCCTCCAAACCCTATGGGTCCCCCATCATGTCCAGGTGCACATGGGTGGCACTGAACACTCAGCAGGGTAGCGCCTTACCACTGTCCCTGATTCCCATCACTCTCAGGCGGATTTTTATATATTTTTTTAAAGTCTATTTTAATGATTGGATATGAGCACTGGGAAGGGGACATGAACTCCCCTTGATAAAGTCTCAGTTTCATGGAGGACTTGAGTGGCCCAAAGGTGCCCTCACCCCAGCCTATGTGCTCCCATAAGGGCTGGTTCCCAGAGGCAAGGGTTGTGGGACACTGCCCACCACAGCACTCTTTCCTTAGTGATGGTGGTGGGACTTGGAACCCAACCTTGAGCTCCCGATAAAAGCTAAAGTCCATCATCTGGTAAAATCAGGAAATTGGAGATTATTTGCTTCTGTTTTATTCTAGAGGAGTATTTAACTGACGGCTTCTGACTCCATGAATTATTATGATGAAAGGTGTGCCTAAAAACAAAATTCAGAATATCAGCAGCATAATTTACAAAAGGGATAAATAAGCATAATTTATTAATTTACCAGGCTCAAAAACATCCCGTTGGAAGTTTAGCCCTTTTGGAGAACAGCAGCCATCAGTTGAATGAGGTTAGGCCTCCCCTCGTAATACTATATTGATTGTCAGTTCAGATTAGCCAGGTGATGCACTTTAGCTACCCTGGACAATACTATCAAGTGTGCTGGGAAGGAAGGAAGGCCTCTCTGCATGTGGAGAATTCCGTGCACGGAGTTTCCCTCCTTCCGACATTGCAACAACAGTGACAACAGGACAACCATGATGCGTGGGTGGAGTCAGGCAATGCCGTGTGCGAAGTAAACTACCTCAAGGTATGAAGTTACCTCAGCAATTATTTTCCTTTTTGTTCCCCTGAACCCCATTTTTTAATTATTTTTTTGATTTTTTTTCTTTGCGGCTTGCTGATATTTTATATAAAAAAGAAAAGCAAAGCAAAAGAGAAGCTGATAGTCTTGAATATTTTATTTTTTTAATGAAAGAGAAAAATGAGAAAGTTATGTTTCATAATTTCTTACAACATGAGCCAGTAACCTTTAGCAACTCCCTATGGAGAACAGGCCCTGTGGGAAAGGCGGCAGGGACTGGACCCTTGGTAGGAGGCTGGGAGTGGAGACGGAAGGGCCCTGGTTGGACAGCCGCAAGGAGCAGAGTCCAGAGCCTTGCCCAGCTCTGATCTCTGACTTGGGATCCCCTGCTGAAATATCCTGCCTGACAGGATTCAAAGGCCTCGCAGAGCCCTGGGTCCCTTGGGGCAAAACAGCAGTGTCCACCTACCTGCAAGCCTTTGGGCTCCTCTCTTCCTGCCTTCGGTTAGACGGCCTCCCAGCCGGTTTTCCCACCTGTGGTACTGTTGTGATATTTTAAAATATTGCCTCCGTTTTATCGAGGAGAGAAAAATAACTTAAAAAAAAAAAGAAAAAAAAAAGAGAAAAAGATTAAAAAAACGAAAAAAAAAACCCTTTTAAAAAAATCTATATTTCTCTGTCTAAAAATATGGGAGCCAAGATTCCGTTCATGGGAGAAAGACAAGGCCACCCTCTCACCCTCAGAGAGGTCCACCTGGTTTGTCATATACAATTTTTAAAAAATTTTTTTTTTGTTAATTGTTGATTCATTTCCATCCCAACTTGCTATTCTTCTTAGAGTATGTTCATAGACCAAGGGGCAAACAGATCCTCAGATGGCTGTCCCACCCCCACTCCCTATCTTTAGATTGATCTGATTGATTCAAAAAGTGGACCCATATACTTAGGGAATACTTGATTTAGGGTGGTGGGTAGCCAAGAGAGACAGGGGAAACGGACACAGGTGATTGGAACAATTTTCTGCCTTGCTAAGGTCTGATCACTTTGTCAACATGAAATCCTTTCATAGCCCCCAGAACTCTAGGCCCAAAGAAGAGAAGCAAGAAAGCATTTAGGGATGAGATCAGGATTACAGAATTAAGCCTCCCACCTGTCCCAACCACAAAAAGGGTCTCCCAGCTTTCCATCTCTGGCTCTGTATTCTTTGTCCCCAAATGAAGCAGATAAGATTCAGACTTCGGCCATTTAGTGATTTAAAGCTGATTTCTAGCAGCAAGCATGCTTTGATATCTGGTTCAAATGATCATCAGGAAAAAGAAAAAATCCCACAGTACCTGAAATGTGATTGTTGCAGTGTTCAGTTCCTTGGGGGGGCCTGCTCCCTTCATACCTTGGAAGTTCGAGTCCTTTTCCTTTGGCTTGGCTGGTTTAGCTCCCAGAAGAGACCAGGAAGTGTGGCAGGGGACCAGAAAACTTACTTGGATTAGGCAAGCCTCCACTCATCGCTGATGTTTGCCCAGCAGGAAAATTGTGGAAGTTAGGCTACCAGAAAGCAAAAGGAATTTGGCTAGGGGGTTGAGGTTTCGCTGGAGGCAGCATCTTGGCGTGCCCTTCTGTGACCTGAAGATCAGGTCTTAGGGCACCTCCTTTCCCCCAATCCTTGGGAAGACAACAAGCTATCCTGAGAAGCACTCGGGATATCTGGATGGTTTTGAGAAAAAGCGACTTTTTAAAAAGACGCTTCTGTGCTCTTAACTTGTGTGTGCGCAACATGTATATTTTTATGAAAGGACCATCTCTTTAGGATATATTTTTTAAATTCTTTGAAACACATAGAAAACCAAAATGGTTTGATTCACTGACTTAACTTTGAAGCTGCATCTGCCAGTTACATGCTGATGGCTTTAATCCCCTCTAGGGTCCTGTTGCCTTTTGTAGTTTGGGTTGTGAACTTGGCTCCTAGGAGGGGTCTGGGTAGGAGAGAGCCATTCTTTGGGACAGGGAGTTATAGCCCCCCGTTTACTATTTGCTCCCCTCCTCCCAGTCCTTCTCCATGTTTTTCTTTTTTTCCCTTTTTTCCTGAGCTCCACGCTTCTGGGGGGAAGTTGGGAGCCATTCTCTTATTTATGCCTCACTGTTGGCAGAAAAGACCACACAGGTGAAACCCAGAGGACGCTGGAGCGCGGGGGCTCCAGTTGGTTCTATGTCCATTTTCCTCTGTGCCAAAGACAGACAGACAGGCTGAGAGAGGCCATTTCTGAATCAAAGCAGTAGCCATCTTTCGACATCTCCCCGTGCTGTCTGAGGGGGAGGGGCCTGGAAACTGTGTGAGCTAAAGACAGAGTCCCCTCCCTTCTGAGGGGACTTGGGAGTGGTGCTTGCCAAGGGGTAGGGAGCTGAGAAAGGGGGTTCTTTGGCTCCTGGTTGCACTTTGGGGAAAAGGGATGTTTAGGGCTCCTGTTTGTGGGACTGCTCTCGTCCCCTGTCCCCACTGCAGAGATAGCACCGTGGAGTTCCCGTCAGGCCTGGCAGACTGGCAGTGAGGAGGGGCCTCAGTTAGCTCTCCAGGGTGCCTTCCCCTCCTCCCACCCCAGACATAAAATAACCTGCCAATCTGGGAACCAGCAGTGCTACAAACTACCTCACCGAGCCCAGAGGGAGCTGAGGAAGCCAGCACCTCTAGGCCACCCTTCCTGCCACCTCTCGGGGCGGGGTCTCCCCCTTTCTTTCCCCTGAAGTGTTCGCGGGGAGATCCTCCTGGCTCTGCCATTCAAACCATGCGACTGTTTTGCCTGTTGAAAACCAATAGAAGGAAAACCCGCACAGCCTGACACATGATTGCAGGAAGATTGAAGAAAAGAAAAAAAAAATCCTCACTGATGCCAGGGGACGTAAAAAGCCATTTCTCTTCCAAATACTCGATGGTTTAGATGCAGAATGTTCCTTATATTCAGACGTAGAGTTAACACCAGCTGAAACTTCCGTTTCTTTCCTTTGGACACTGACTCAGTGGGGGTACAGGGCAGAGAAAAGGCCTCATGGCCTGAGATGGGTTGAGGGGTGGGCAACAGCCCCAGCCCTGAATCTCGCCCTGTGGACCTCCTTGGGTCACAGTGTGATGGCACCAGTACTGGTGTCTTAGTATGGTTGAATCCGGACTGACAAGACAAAAGAAAGAATTTTTTTTTTCCTTAAGTGAAATAGCAGGAAGCTCTTCGTGAGCGTGTTCTGAGTGATCACAGGTGATGAATGCTACGAGTATAAATGGATTAACTACCTCAGTCCTTTACAGTAATATTGGAACTAAGGGCAGGGACTCGTGCATGAGGGTATGAGTCCCAGCCCAAGTGAGTTGAGGCTTGTGCCACAAAGTTGGTCTTGGGGGTCAGGCAGGCCTGCCAGCATCCCCACTCATTGGTCGGGTTGGCAGGGCTGGCCATTAGGTCCCCGCTTTCTGCCTTCCTTGCTGGTGCTTCACCCCTTTCCTCCAGCTTGTTCCTCTCACCTGCATTCGCTTTGTTGGACCAGATGGTGAGGGACTCCTCCACAGGGGGCTGGCTGGAGGTGAGCGCAGGCTTGGCCTGGCAACCTGTCAGTCACAACACCCGGGGAAGCCAGAGCTGAGACCCCTTCCACAGGGT